ACAGACAGTCATAGCGCCACCTGCTGGCAACAGGAAGTGACTTTTAACGAAGCAGCCCCCGCCGCACGTTTACCTACGTGCACGAATTTTCTGTGGTACGTGTATCTTGTCCAGACGCACAAAAAAGCCTCTTGGAGCGATGCCCTAAAATCAACAGGAAGTCGGCCATTTTGAATTTTACGTCAAATTTTGGATGATTTACACACTTCGTACTTTAACGAACTCCTCCTAGGGATTTAGTCCGACCGACTCAAATTTGTGCTGTGCCTTCTAAAGGCATTGAAGATGAAAAGTTGTGCTATTTGCAAGTTTTCGTCAATGGGCGTGTCCGTGGCGTGGCGTCAAAGATCAGCTCTTTGCCATGACACGGAAGTTGTCGTAACTTCAGTGTACATGCTCACATCTGAACCAAACTTTACGTGCTTGATAACTCTCCCACCCCGCTATGGAGGACCGATCCTGACACAGTCAGAAATAAATACAGAAATAAATAAATGCTCAATAAATAAATAAGCATCCAATTAAATACACAAAAAAATTAAGTAAATAAATAAATGTAGGTAGTAATTAAATTATACAAGGAGACATAAATGTATATATTTTAATTAGTGCCTTTACTTATTCACCTTTGTTATAATTACCTTATTTGTTTATTCAACTTTATTTATTACTAATTTTTTTAATGTATTTATTTATGTGTGTTTTAATATTTTTGTCTGTTTTATTCTTCCTTTGTATTTATTTACCTTATTTATTTTCACCCATGGTATTTATTTCTGCCTGTCTTAAATTTTTGTATGCATTTCTGCCTCATTATGCAAATGAGGAGGGGCTGTGTCTCAAGGGGTCATCTTCTCTGCTATTGGTGGACCAGTCAGACAGGAGAGCTCCTACTCTGCCTGCAGACATCAACGATCTTGCCCCTCACACAGTCAGATGGCTTCCTTCAGTGCGCTGAGGTGTTTAACAACTCTGAAGACAATACTACCAGCAATGTCTTCCTTCTCTTTTCACGTAGAAGCACCGACAGACAGTGCTTTCAGTTTGCTGCATGCATGGACACAGAACTGCGGTATAGGGAGAAGCACACGGTCAGCTGGCTGCAGCTAAATCTGGAGTGCACTCGTATTCAATTCTGTATGGTAAATTCAGTTTTAACGGAGCAGAGCGAGCTGACAGGCAGAGTTAGAGACTTTTTCTGTCCGTTTCTCTCTTTACAAAGACGCATGTTGCAGTCAGAGTCTTCTCTGAGATGCGAGCACGACATACAACACAATTTATCAAATTACACAACGGATATACAGTATGAAATAAGATTGATTGGATTATACTCACAGGAAGTATAAAACCTCTTACATGGGTCTATTAAAAGTAAAGTAACACAAAAATGTCAGGGAAATTACTTTACTTAGATTTAAGTACTGCAGTTGTACATTTGAAATACCTTCCTACCTTTCTGATAGGAAGCCTTCTTGAGGTGGTATAAAACATTTCTTCTTATATTCTGATTTGAGTTGTGGACAACTATGACCACATGAATTAAAAAAACATTTCACTGCCCAAGTCAGCTATAACACAAGTCTTGATCATCAGACTACATGCTGTACAGTATTTGTGGACAGATTTTGTCCCAGGATTTCTTATGCATTTCTTCTTCTTCGTTGCATGATTTAGAATAATAAGGTGAGAAATGGGTCTATTCTGAGTTCATCCTGCACTGCAGCAGCTAATAAAGTCCATTTAATCCCCAAAACGCTTTTCTTTTAGGCAGGCTAGAGCAGAAAACAACTCACCTTTCTCAAGTTGTACAGTAATGTCACATGTGTATGAAGGTGGATCAAACAAGCTAATCTTAAATGTCAAAGTAGAGAGGAGCCTAGTAGGCCTATTTATTTTCATTCATTACACAATATGAATAAGCTATGCAGACAGTTGTAAAGAAAGAACATCTTTTTCTTCTGTTCTCTACTTGTTATAGTTACACAGTATTAGGGGTGTGGGCTGTATTAAAAGTATCTACTGTTCTCCCATGCTCTAACACACAGTAACGATGAAATGTGTGCTGTTCTCACATTCTTCCTCTGTATGTACACATAAACAACAAGGCAGGGAAATATAAAAGGAATTTATTTTATTGTTTGGGTACATTATTGTTCAGTGTACATGCTCACATCTGAAACAAACTTTACGTGCTTGATAACTCTCCCACCCCGCAGACATCTACACGTCAATACCGATTTATATTCATAGCGGCAAGTGCTATGTAGCTCCACATAGGGGACACAGGAAGTGACATATAGCACATTCATGCGGCGTCATAACCGCGTAGGAAATTCACAGCCGCACCGGCAGAGCTCCAGAATATGCAACTCGGCCGGCTCACGCGCGGACGCGCTACTAGTGCGAGGGCCCGCCCAACGCTGCTTGCAGCTTTAATTATTGTTGTAATGTAACATGTAGATATGATAATTACTATTATTCAAGCATATCTGACTTACAAACAGTGTTTCCTCTTTGTTGATTTGACCGTGGTGGCCCCCCACAGCAACATTTCGAGATGGTTCTCACTGCGGAACATGAAATCCATGGGGAGGAGTCGGATCCAGATACAACTCCTCCCACCTTACATACACCTAAACCTACCCAACTCCGCCCCCCTGATCCCTAAACCCCACCCCTAATCCCTAAACCCAACCCTCCTCCTACCCATCTCCACCCCTTGGATCTTGATCCGACTCCTCCCCGTGGATCTCATGTACTGCACTGAGGTGTTACTGAACATTTCTGCCCCCCCACGGTATCAGAAATAGGGCGACGGCAGCTTTAACTGGTGATTTTTTTGGACCTGCCCCCACTACTAAAAACAAACAAACAAAACACTGACAAATATAAGAAATCGAACCAAAAGTGAATAACTGGTCATTTATCACTTCGAGAGCTCCTCAAACTGACAGTCCTCAATCTGACAGTTCAGAATCACTGTCGTATCCATCCCAATCATTCTGGAAGTCCATACTTGTTCCAGTCAAAACTTGAGCATAGCAGTCTCTTGCATGCTTCATCATTCTGGTGACTTCTTGCTTCTTTCTCAAAGTTAAGCTGAGGAAACCCTCGATCCCTTCTTCATTTAGAGCCCACAGCTCACCTGATGGGAGTAAAACAAAAAATTATCAGAAAAAAAATTACAATGTACAGTATAGTATTACAACACATTACTTAAATACGTACTTTGCAATGCCTCACTGGAAAGCTGGGATGACATCTCCTTGAGTGTGTCTGCACGAGTGGAGAGAGATTTCCAATGCTTTGCCATCTCAGAAAGAACAATCTTCTTCTCCTCCTCAAGTCTCCTTATTGCCATCACAACATCAAACGCCTTCCTCTTGATTTTCAAATCTACAGCGTCTGGGATACAGTTGTGGAAAATAAGTAAATTGTAAGTATGATTATTTTTCAAATAATATTTGAGATAATCTGGGATAAGGCATAATTGGTTTTGTGCTACTATGTGAATCAAACAAAATTGTCAACAGATTTGTGTACATACCACCATGTGAAAGTTGCCATGGCCAAACTGTCTCGTCAGAGAGAATGATGTCAAAGACGATTCTTTCTGTATCTGGAACCATACTGTTGTATTTTCAACGACAGAGCTAAGAATGGCCTTCTCCTCTGATTTTGCGCCGAATCCGGGCCCGACCTTTGCTGCCATCGGTGTCTTTGTAAAGGCGCTGGGACCTTCTTTTAATGCTGGCCACCAGCACCTCCATTCTACTGGTCACCGCGTCAAGATCGGCATTCTTTTGGGATGTTGTTGCTGAGAAGAAAAGAAGTGTAAACATTTCACTTACATTTTCATGGCAGTAACTGAAACGAGCTAAGTCTCAGTGTAACACAGAACGCCACAGGGAAGTCATAAGGATTACCTTAACCTCTTTGCTGCTTTTTTTTCTTTATAAAAAAAGCTCCTGGAGGAAGGACAGGTGAGTCTCAATATTCATTTCATATTTATTAGCGTGTATAGGAAGTATGTAACAGGGTACCAAAGAAAATGACAACGTAGCCAAGATGGGATCCGCTAACTGCAAGAAATTTCGCAAACACTTTATTTTACGGTGTCCTTGTTACATGTTACATGAACTTAAAATAGTAATAACAATAAATTATGCATAATTACATGTAACTAACCCTCAACCAAATCCTAATCCTACCCTAATCCTATAGTAAGTCATGTAGTTAATTAATATTACTCCGTATTAAATTATAATTACACTCTAAGAAGGACACCTTAAAATAAAGTGTTGAATGTCACCGAAATGTCCAATGTTCCAACTTTTGGACTGTGCACCATTCAGGTACTTTCAGGGCACTTTGTTTTGACATGATTTCCAGTGTGCATGCACTACATACTAAAATTTGGCATTTTAACTGCACAAGTAAATGACCAAGAAAACAGTGTATGTATGATTTCATTTTAAAACAGTAATTACTTGCAGAAGCATGTCTCCCATTATTCTGCAGAACTGAGACATTGAAATAATAGTATAACTATCACCTTCTGCCCACTCCTTAATATCAGTGACCCAGCCCTCAACTTCAACCTGTGTCACTGCCAGCTGGATTTTCATGCTTTCCAGATCCTGAAGTTGGCTTTCCAGGCGTTTTGCGGCCTTCAAATAACAAAAAAAGAAATGAAATAAAAATGTTATACCTACAAAAATATACAATAGAAGGTATTTACAATATAAGAAAATAACAATACTCATCTCTACCTTCTGATATCGGCAGGCAAGTGAAGCAGCCAAGTTATTAAACTTTTGCTGATTCCAGCGCATGGCCATCAGTGTAAGCATGTCTGTACGTCCTGAAAAAAGAAAAGAAAATACACTAATCTGTGTTGTACCACATGTCCCTCACTGGCTACAATTTTCTTGTAACACTTTCAATCTAAGTAGTGCAGTGTGTGGTTACCTTACCTGCTTTGGACATGTGCTTTGTGGTCACAGCATCCTAGAGAGGAAGGCGTTACACTGTTCAACCTCCTCCCCAAGTGTCAATCCGGCCCCTTGCTGGTAAGCTCCACTCCATTTAACCTATTGAAGAAAATACTTAAAAGCTGCCAACATACCTTTGCAGGTGTTTAGGGACAGTTAATGACATGGTAATGTTTTCTTACCTCGCATTTAAAATCATGGGCTTTGGCATGAAACACTGAGAGGAATGGTTTCATGCTCAGAAGGTGCTCGAGCTCCGGGCAGCTTTTTGTCACTTTGTGGAGGTAGGGCCAGTACTTGCAGGTTACATCCATGGCAAAAAAGCTTATTGACTTATTTGCCAGCTTGTTCTGCAGGTAGAGGGGATAAGCATATATTTCTCCCCTGAACATGTTGAGAGTGCCGAGAAAAACTCCATGTCGACAGACCGCAAGCTCAAGTCCCTCCTCATCAATTTTACTAGAGGATCTCTGAGAAGTTTCCCTGGCAGCTGACCACTCCCCTCCACAGACACCTCTTCCAGAGACCTACAACATGGAAAAAGGTTGATATAAATAGTCAGGACTCACCCAAACAATGTCAACTGTAAAATGTTATTGGTCGTGTTTTTAGAAATATTATACAACAAGTTTACATGGTTGGTGTTGGAATGAATGTAATCCACAAATCTTTCTACTTCATCATCTTTTGCAATGAAGATGCCATCAAATAAGGCTTGTTCTTCAGATCTAATTGAAAGAAAGGTACACATTGACCTTCAATATGACACAGCAAAGGTTACTTTAACAACACTGCAAATTACACACATTTTGTAAGTACCTTGCTGCGTTCTTAAAGCGGTAGTGCTTGCGATTTCCATCCACAGAAACAGCAAGCATGTCTGGGGTGCATGCAGGACAGATAAAATGCTCCTCCCTGCAGATCTTATCCACTTCAAATCTAACAGCCTCCCGCTCCAAAAAGCTTTTTCTGAAGCTGTCTGCTGTGATCTTCCCAGTCTGTTTCAGAACAGTAAAACATGTCAACATAATTCACAGTTAAGTTAACTAAAGTTAATAAGGTCAAAGGTGACACCAAATCCTCCTGCATCGAGCCTCCACAGGCAGTCGCTCAGCCCAGTGGATCTTTGGAAGTCTTTTGGCTCTTTGTATGTCACGGACAAAAAACATCACGACCAAAGTCCCCCCCAAAAAAGACCACAGCAAACTCGACTCCCACAGCAAACTTAACCAATGTCTTTATGGGCCTATTTGTTTTTTTTCTGAATGCAAACTGCATGACTAGGATGTGACATCACTACTTGATCTTATACACAGGTCTAATGTTTTGAGTGATTGAGTTGATAAATTGCTCCAATACTTTTGTACATTTAGTGTAAGAATTTAGATTCTTTACTGAGTGGTAGTTTTTACACAAAGACTTTGAATCTTAGATGATGTTCTATTAATGTATCGAGTCCAGCTGAATCACTGTTTTGATTTCATCAACATGCTCCAATTATAATAATCAGTGTGTTGATAATGTCACCATAGTCGTTCTGCGATACACATCAATACTAGTACTAGTTGTTAGTGATTCCCACCACTCATACTCACACGGCCAAATCATTCTTAAGAATGCTTGGCAGGACAGTCCTGGTGCTGCCATCTTCAATTCTTCATAAGAACAAAAAACATCTGTAGCGTACACCGTGGAAAAGTGAAGGGTAGCAGGCCAGTAGTCATCACTCCATCACAAGTCATCCACTCCAGCGCTCCATGTGGCTTTGCATGCCTCACATTTCATCTCAGGCATACTGAGATCATATCGTCCTGGAAAAATCAGGAAAAGTAGCTTACATTACTATCACCTATGTAGTACATTCAGAACTAATAAAACTTAAAATCAGACATCTGGCAGTCTTTCTCATTTGTCAAGTGCCTCTTTTGTGAGACAGAACGCAAAACTGACATCCCTCCTGCCTATCCTGGGTCTTTCACAGGCGGGAGATGCACATAAGGGTATAGATGCGGGCGGGAGCGGGACTAAAACACATTATTGCGGAACGGGATAGAATATTGTGGGAACGGGGGGGTGCAGGACTGAAAATCCTGCCCAGCGCAGACCACTATAGGGAACGTTTGAATAGAAATAGGACACATTTACAAAGCCAATAGCACTGCCTTGTTTTTTTTTCTATTCAAATAGGACAATGAAAAGTGGCAGGAAGCGAGTGGGAGAGCCCTATGGGGTGGAATCAGGTTAAAGTCCAACCCAGGTCCCTATGGGCACTTTGCCCAGAATGTGATATGGACGCTAAAGCCACTTGATCTGGAATGTTCCCTTAAGTTCTTTTTATTCTTACCATTCATTGTAACCACAGCAACAACTTTTCCTGTGTTGACACTCAACGATCCCGGAGAACAACTACATATTTTTTTGGGAATCTCCAACGGCACAATACACACTGAAAGACACATCATATGCAGGGATTAAAGACATGCATCATCCTATGTACTAACTGGGAAGTATTCTGCAATCTTTTTCTTTTTCTTTTTTATCAATGATTTGAAAAGCTTTAAAGATAAAGGTCATTAAGTGTGTTTCAGAGAAAGTACTCAAAACATTCCTGTGAAGCCTATTATACTTTAAAGTTATTTAAATAAACTGAGAATGGGACTAGTGCTGCACAATATATAATTGCACTTTTTCTGACAGATAAAGCGATTACCATTTCCAATTCAATTTTTGAATGTGTATGATTTGATTCAGTTCAATATTCCAAATGTCTCTTTAATTTGTGCCACCCCTGATAAGTAAGCACAGCCAGTGTACAAGACTAACACCCACTGACCGACTGAAGTTCACCAATCAGAATTTTTGTCCCCTTCACACACTACGCACACCCACCAACCAGAAGTTGCACAGTCAAGGAGGATGACGTGAATATAAAAGTCAAATGTCACAAATGATATTTGAAGATTTTACCATTAGGCAGTTGCGTTGGATCATATTGCAATTACGATTGCAATAATTGTGCAGCCCTAAATAAGACACTCAAAGAAATAGAGCTTACCACAGTGGGAAAGAGCCCTCTCCACGACACAGGTTGTTGGAGGCAATGGCTGAAAGAATCCAGCTATTGTTGCATCCCTGTTGTGGAACACATGGTTTCGGTGTATACTGACATCACAATCAGCACAAAAGAATGGTTGTGGTCGGCAGTCACGACAACGGACAGCAGCTGCACTGCTGCCACATTGTTGGCAGATCTGAGTGTTCACATTTTGTTGTGCCACCATGGTATTCACCAGACAGGGTCTCTCTTTCTCCCACCTCTCTGAGAGGAGACTTTTTCTAGTAGACCAGTCAGAGGAAGCTTGTGGTGGTGCTGGTGCCGTTTCCTGATCATCCAAGTCATCACCCTGTGAGTGGTTTAGCTCTTCAAGGAAAGTCTCTGTTAAAATAGTACATCATATTTAAAAACAATTTTCTACACTATCAAAGTGTGCAACATGTTGTCGGTTATTCTGTCGCAAAAACATGTAATTTTGTAATTATTAGAATCTATAAACATAATGAACTAATAGACACAAACTAAAGAACATACCAACAGTGTCAGGGGGACAGTAGTTGGTTATCTCAAAGCTGTTGTCCAACATCCTAGTATGAGAACTAGACTTACGACTGTAGCTGTGACTAGCTGTAGCAGAAAATAAAACCCAAATCAACCTTTACAGCATTACAATTCCATAGATTTTGACAAGCTCATTTTATTCCACACAATGATACATATTTTTATTGGCCCAATTTCATTGTCTATACCACTTTGGATGATCATGAGTATGTAATAAAAACCTCATATCTCATACCAGACACATGACTGATTCATGTATTCAATCCCAAGTGGTAAAACAATCTATATCTCCGTTTTAGATCTATGTGAAAAATCACAGGAGTACGCCTTAAGTAATATGACTGAAAAAAGAAAACTGACCCGTTTGTTTTCGGGATGATCTCGGTCTGTCATAGACAACATTTCCATCACTGTCTCTCTTCAGCCACCTGACTGGTTGATGGCTGGTGGATGGTGCTGCCTCCTGGACTGGTTGATGGCTGGTGGATGGTGCTGCCTCCTGGACTGGTTGATGGCTGGTGGATGGTGCTGCCTCCTGGACTGGTTGATGGCTGGTGGATGGTGCTGCCTCCTGGACTGGTTGATGGCTGGTGGATGGTGCTGCCTCCTGTTCTCCCTGCATCTTATTGATGAAATCATCCATGATCTGGAGTTCATAATTTAATTTAGAATGTTCAACAAGCTCATTAAGGACCTGTTTGAAATTGGAATTGTCACTCATGGTGAACAAGGACAAACAAGACAACACTAAAGGGATAGGGGGGAAGAGCAAAAGAGCAAGAACAACAGAGAACCAGACAGACTAACAACAATTAACTAGACAAAAGTGGCTCTTAAAAGTGCCTTTGTTTTTGCTTTGTAACGAAGCTGAGGTTTTGAAGTAAATGATGAAGGGACTAGGGAACCTGTTGAAAGAAGGCAAAGATAATAAATTCAGATTTGAAGATCATGCTACATACAACTACATAAATACTAAATAACTGAAAGGTTTAAGAACTTGAGAAAATGCTTTGGGCTGTGGTGGGGAGGTCTGTGGGTGCGTATAGTAATATTAGGCCAGAATACTGTAGGGCTGGTTGTTGCCTGCAAACTCACAATACAATAACTCACTAGTTATGGACTGATCTTGACACTCATGTCTGATATTGATACCAACCATTCAAAATGTCAGCTTGGCTGATAATCAGTGCCATTTTTAATATTTTTATGTTATTAATTATACTTGTATTAACAAGGAAACACATTTCTTTAACTTTTTCCCTGTGATCATTTTAATCAAAAAGTTCCCTCAGCAGTCATAGTAATTTTAAACACTAGACTGACTGATTTAACACTGATTTAATTTGTTAATGTGGTTTTTTATTTTCATGTCTATGCTTTCATAGCATAGACACAGTTATAAGTTACACTGACTAGCATGTGTATAAATGGGCACAAAACACTGGGCAAAGAGCAACGACACACAACCACAAGAAGAATCCCAACGCAGACATGCATTACAGCTAACACGGTATGTCTCAGTGTGAAAATCTTACATTCCCCTATGATTGTACCTTACATGATAATATGCGACAAAAATGAACTTGAATTCAATTAACTTAGCTAATTTTGCTAGCTTGCACATTTGGTGCAGTTCAAGCTATATTTTTTATAATGTCTTCTATCATTTCTCGTCATAAGAAAGGGCCACCTTACAAATCTAAAGTTTCTAAACACAATTTCTTGTCCTGATCCAACCGTTTTTGATGTGTAAATGTAAGAAGAGGATCCATCTCTATTAATGAACCCTTCTACTTACCCAGTGGAAAATCGCAATGGACCTTGGGATCGCCCATACGGTGACGTCAGCGTTATTAATTTAGAGGATTTAGTAAAAATAATAATTTTAAAAAAATGATTAATTGAACACAATCGTAGCATATTAAAATCAACAAACCTCCGATAAAAATACGTTATCCAGCATGCTCTAGTGTTTTACCTATGATAAGAAAACGCTTTAAAACTGCACACTTGCACGCGCATTGGAGCGTTAAACTCACCTCTGAATGCCGTTTTACCTGCAGTTGAGTGTTGTTAAACTCACCGCTGAATGTGGTTGCACACCATGTGCGTTGTTAAACTCACCGCTGATGAACGCGCTTAGCTTTTGAGGGCCCTTTGATATCAGATTGCGAGGGTTTTTAAACATCAAACACCAGTTGGGGGGCATTTGAATCGCCCTGGCATAGATAATTTTTGGTAGCGTATTCCTTTTTATTTTTATTTATTGTTGTCTCGACCCACAAGGCAGACAACGGGTTGCGGTGTGGTGATCGACCCAAGACGTCAAATTTCAACGCTGTTGAGTTCTATAGAAGTCTATTGGACTGCCCCGCACGTTGAAAAATGAAGCCGAAGGTATACCCAGTGCGTCAAAAAAGTGACGCCAGGGTCCCTTGACCATGCGTCAGACATTTGACGAGTAGGGAGTGAGACTGTGTCGGTCCTGTTCTGTCGTTGTTACAGCTGAGGTTATGTTTAACCGTGTGGTCCACCTGCGTTAACTCCGCTGCTGTAAATAGAGAGGAGGAGTAAGATTAGAAGTTGAAACAGTGAAACCACACATAAATAACCTGGAATCTTTTTAGTTTTTATTATTGCTAAGAAATCTATTTATTTATTCAGACCTGTTCTATAGTATTAAAGGAGGAAATTCTCTAGATTTGTTAAGCAGAACAGTTATTTTCGTCACACATGCACATAATTAAATATGGATTAAATACACCTCTCTCTTATTTCTTATTGAATGAATGCATGTGTCTGACTGTGTACCTCAGCCGTAATAAACAAATCATAGCATAATGTGGGACAGAATTCATTATTTCACGTGATCCATCACAACATTATCGAGGTGATTAAAAAGTGTCATTACACCATCTGCTGCGGGAGATGCGTGAGGTATGAAGAACTGGGAGACGTGCTTTGATTTCTCTCTGAGCTCTAGCATTGCGGAAGTGTTGCAAACTAAGTATTACGCAACCAGGGCTAGAAGAGGCCGAGTCTTCACAGAATGGGGGGGGAATGATTTGCATGGGATGATGCGTTTAAGACAGCTGGCAAATACGGAACAAACCCCGCCCCGTATTGATTCAGAACTGGAAGCCTATTTATTTCTTAAATACGGATCGATTCCGTATTTTAAGGGACGGGGGGGAACCACATTTTTTGTGTATCTCATCGTCACCCTGCTGCATGTTGTCACTGGCCATACTTGAGGTTTGGCTGCAGAGGACAAAACATCGGGCTCTGGTGGAGGAACTCATTCAGGTGGTCTGGCAGCTTTTCCAGGTACATTTATTCCTTTTTTCTTCTTCATATTAAACCGATAAATGAGCATGCAGACAGCTGTGGGTTGTAGGTGGACAGAATAGTGAGGTTAAACCCGTTAGGCTTTATTTCCTTTGTTCACTCTCTTCCCTTAAAATCAGAGGCGGAAAGTAACAAAGGACAGTTTTTACAGCAAGACTCGAACCCTTTCCTTAGATACAGCCGTCACTGTAAATCCAGATGTTGACGCTTCAAACTCTGGGAAAAGCAGTCAACAGCAGAAAAAAACCTCTTCACGGCCCTGTTAAGACTCCAGAAAGCTGGAACAGCGGAGAAACCCCTTTTTCCACTCGGCCCTGTTTAGACCCCAAAAGGAATTAAAACAGCGGAGAGGATGGGCAGTAATTCTGCAATGGTGCAATCAAAACAGCAATCTAAGCTGAAAGTATAAAAACCAAAGAAAAACAAATGCAACTTTGTAGTTTATTTCAGGCACCCGCCGTTTTTAAGGACAACGTAGGTCCAAGTCTTGTTGAGATGGTAGTGGTCCGGGACGCGGACGGTCGACCCTCCCGTCTCTAAGTTTGCGAGGTGGAGGCTGGGACACTTTTTCTTCCAGGATGAGCAGTCGCCGGCCGTCTCAGGTCCCAGACGAAGTCCGCCAAACCTTCCCACTTCTGACACCAAGTGAAATGGAAATTAAACCTCAAGTGAGTCTTCTGAAATAAAGAATTCAGTCCTGACGTCTTTTAAGTGTTTTATTCTTCGCAAAGGGTCAGACAGACATGCAGAGTGTAAGACAAAGAGCCTTTCTATTACTCAGCTATGTTAGGGAGGAGGGAGGAGGGAGCAGGGACCAACTGTCCTGGGATGCAGGGGTGCCCCCAGAAAACTTTCCTAGGGGGGCCACTGAAAATCCTGGGGTGGAACACTAAACCAAAAGCCATAAATTCTATTATGGACTATATAGACTAGTTGAATACTACGTAAAAATATGAGTTAAGGAATCACAGACTGAATTACTTTGGTTTCTTATTTTACAGTGAATGTTACTAGTTGTCTGATGTCCGTAGACTAAAACCAGTTCAATTAACAGTCCAGAAAAATCCTGTTTCATGTATTATCTCTATGTGTTCTGCAATTCATTGTTCTTTGAATGGGCTAGTTGACGTTTTCATTAAAAAGACAAATATAGCTTTTATTTGTAGGAGTGTATTGACGGGGAGGAACAAATCATTTACTGGGAACAAGCCTACTCAAGATTACAGACATCATGGAGCTTATATATATATATTCTTCAATTCAAATTGAAATACACGATATGTGTCTGTATAGAGTTGTGTAACTATTTATTAACATACTGTTCCACAAGTTTGGTGTTATTCTTGTTAGAAACAACTAGGATAGTTATTCTTGAAATATCCAACTTTTTAACTACCGATTTGACCAGTGTCATATTTCTATGTAAAAATAGTGGGGGGGGGGGGGCGGGGGGGGGGGGCACCAACCATTTCAAAAGATAGATACCAGTAAAACTACAATACTCTCTTGCTACTGTGTTTTTTAACACGTCAACAAACAGCATGGCTCCACAAAACACTTAACATGAGAGAGAGCGAGAGAGAGAGAGAGAGAGAGAGAGAGAGAGAGCGAGAGAGACAGAGAGCGAGGAGCGAGAGAGAGCGAGAGAGAAGCGAGAGAGCGAGAGAGAGCGAGAGAGAGAGCGAGAGAGAGGGAGGGGAGGGGCGAGAGAGAGCGAGGGAGAGCGAGAGGGAGCGAGAGAGCGAGAGAGAGCGAGAGAGAGCGAGAGAGAGAGCGAGAAGACGAGAGAGCGAGAGGGAGCGAGAGAGGAGCGAGAGGAGAGCGAGAGCGAGAGGAGCGAGAGAAGCGAGAGAGAGAGCGAGAGCGAGAGGAGAGAGCGAGAGAGAGGGAGCGAGAGAGAGAGCGAGAGAAGAGAGCGAGAGAGAGAGAGCGCGAAGAGAGAGCGCGAGAGGAGAGAGAGCGAGAGAGAGAGAGGGAGCGAGAGAGAGAGCGAGAGAGAGAGAGGGAGCGAGAGAGAGCGAGAGAGAGAGCGAGAGAGAGAGAGGGAGCGAGAGAGAGAGCGAGAGAGAGAGGAGCGAGAAGAGAGAGCGAGAGAGAGAGCGAGAGAGCGCGAGAGAGAGCGAGAGAGAGAGAGAGCGCAGAGAGAGAGAGCGAGAAGGAGCGAGAGAGAGCGAGAGGGAGAGCGAGAGAGAGAGAGCGAGAAGGAGCGAGAGAGAGCGAGAGGGAGAGCGAGAGAGAGCGAGAGAGAGCGAGAGGGAGAGCGAGAGAGAGCGAGAGGGAGCGAGAGAGAGCGAGAGAGAGCGAGAGAGAGAGCGAGAGAGAGAGAGCGAGAGGGAGAGAGAGAGAGCGAGAGGGAGAGCGAGAGAGAGCGAGAGAGAGCGAGAGGGAGAGCGAGAGAGAGCGAGAGGGAGCGAGAGAGAGCGAGAGAGAGAGCGAGAGCGAGAGAGAGAGAGCGAGAGAGAGGGAGCGAGAGAGAGAGCGAGAGAGAGAGAGCGAGAGAGAGAGAGCGCGAGAGAGAGAGCGCGAGAGAGAGAGCGAGAGAGAGAGAGAGAGAGAGAGAGGGAGCGAGAGAGAGAGCGAGAGAGAGAGCGAGAGAGAGAGAGGGAGCGAGAGAGAGAGAGAGAGAGAGAGCGAGAGAGAGAGAGCGAGAGAGAGAGCGAGAGAGCGCGAGAGAGAGAGCGCGAGAGAGAGAGGCATTGACACAAGTTACAGTATCGCTGTGACAAAACTAAACTATGAATGCCATATTTAAGCAGACACAACCAAGCTCAGAACAAATGAGCCTACAGGCCACAAGCAAAGAGCAGTGAGCTCAACACCGCTGAAGTCAACAAGCACAGGCACAGAGCAGGTTTTAGGGATCCAGAGATCCTGCGATCATAACGGAAAGAATGTCCGCCAACATATATCCCGTTCCCAGCTCCGTACATACAGCGCAGCGAGCAGCATATTGGCCTAATAATCCCGAATAATAAGGCAGGATGAAAGCGGCTATATGACAACATCATGACACAGTAATCCGTAGCCCGGTCTCAACCGATCCAGCACAACAGTTTGCCCATGCAGGGAGCAGCAGCAGACTCGTTGTGGCCCCGCAGTGTTCGTTGCGATGGTTACCCTTCCAAGTAACGTTGAGCCCAGTTTCACAGCATCGTCCAGGTGACTCCCGCTGTTCTCACGTTTTGCAATCCTCTCAGAAAGATGAGGAAAGATTCGGTCTCCCTCGAAGCTCTCACACAGTACGGTACACAAAACTGTGTAGCAGTGTGACAAACTTATTATAAACTAGTCAGGTCTGTTTCTGTATATTAATTCAATTAGACTTTTCTTTCTTCTGCAGTCGGTCGCTGCCTCCAAAGAAAACACATACATTCGGCAAAACACCGGTGCCCTTCAGATCTGCTCTGCCTCTTAGTCCCGCCCCTTAACCAGTCACAATTTTAGAAACGTGATTGCCATCTACATGGACGAATCAGAGGCCTCTCCTAAAATAAACATCACAGTCTGTCACAGCTCAGGGTCAGAGGTTCCGCTCTTAAAGTGACGGAGCCTAATATGAGAACACTTGGATGCTGCGATTCACCTTTTAACTCAAACGCAGGGGGTCACATAATAATACAGTATAGCATTTTATACATATGCTCCACCTATCAAGGACAGTCAGATAAGAAAACTCTTTAAGGAGCATCTTTCCCATGGGAACCTTCACCTCACTGCAACATAATAAAATAACATTGGTCTATTCTGATGAAGCATGCAGGGTGAAACAGTAAAATATCACATTTCCATCACAATACTTTACTTAAGTATTGCTAGTTGTTGATACTTTTCCTTTCACTGGTGAGGTTAAACAGCTGAGTTTCCCTGCCAGTCAGTCCGTCGGATGAGGGACGAAACATCTTCTAGTATCTTCAACCAAGTCCAGTTACCCTTGACTTTAACCTTCCCTACACCACACTAGGCAAAGTTTATTTGTACAGCTACACGAGGATTTAAAGTTCTTTCCATAAAACTTATAGCAACACAGGGAAATATAAAAAAGACATAATACAATTTAAAAAAAGAGCCAATTAGAAAACAGGTTAATTGACTTGATAGTTTAAATCTGTGTTTCCTGTCAGACTTTGTGTGAGTGAAATACAACGTGCACAATGCACGTGCATTTAAGCAAGAATCTTTAGAAAGAAGAAAATTAACATCATGCTGGAGGACTTGAAACTGATCACTGAGATCAAAAACTCATCAGGAAAGTGTTTACCAGGGGCGTTGCTAGACATCAAGCTCTACTGGGGCGCAGTCCCCCCCCATCCCCCATGTACATCTTTAATTTAGAATTTCTTTTTGATTGAAGTGTATGAAATGTGTCAGTGTGCGCCTCACCAGCTTCCCTTGCTTAGCCCATTATTATTGGCTGTGTCATGTCAGAAAGGGCTTCGACTGGAGCATAAGCACACACACCTACGGTACCGCCTAAGAAACATTTTGCTACGGGGCCCTCCAACCTGACTTGTGAGCCACTGCTGCACAGTCACACATGACACTGCAGCACTCTCACTACAATCCTCCTCCTTTAGAACAGTCTGTCTCTGGAATAAGCCTGAATAGAAACCTCTTGTAGAAACATCCAGTGCTGGTTTGATTGGACCTCTGCGCACTAACTCAGACCTCATGAAGTCTGATAAGACTGGGGGCCGATCTGCTGCTCATGTGGTGGAGCAGCAACTGTTCCATCAGGGTCTGAGCTGCTTGTATCCGATGCTGGCTGTACATCTCTGGCTGTGCTCGTACTGGCTGATGATCCAACATTTCCTCTACTGACATATTTAGACAGAGCCCCTTTAAATGATATTATGGGACTGTTGCACCGCTCAGCAGGACCCTTCTCCTGGAATGCGTGAGTTTCATTTCGTGCACGCAAGTATGAACGCATGTTCATTACATTGTGATTTAGTTGAAACTAAATCAAACTGTTTGATACATACACCAAATACAGAATACCGAAAACAATGCAATCATTAATGGTGACACTCCCATGCTGATTTTAGCCAAGGTTTGAGGCTGGCCTTAAACACTGCAAAACCTGAGTTTCTAATGTTTGTGGGAATGGAATTCCACTTCCCCACTACTTTAGCCAAGAAGGCAGATTGACCAAAGGTTGTCTTTCTAAATCACCCCTTGTAGATGCTCTGGTTCTGCTGGCACTGCCAGAAAATGCTCTGCATCCTCTAAGAGGAGGGGGTGCGAGATAATGAATAACTTTAAACATGAGACATGCATCTGAATAAAGTAAGAAATTATCAAAATTCAGAAAATTGTATTTTTTCAAGATGGTACAATGATGATAATCCTCAGGCTTTTCATCCAGTACTTTTAAAATTTGTTTGTGGAGCGAATACATAGGCTTGAGCATAGTCACACCTGCCTGTGACCAGGTGCTTCTACAGTCAGACAGATGGGGGAAAATCTTGGTGCAGCAGACAGTGACAAATGGTGTCTAAACAGCCTTGATGACCCTACAGAAAGGCAGAATTGTGTCAATTATAATGCCTAAATATTTAACATGTGTCACAGATGTAATGACTTCACCGTTAATTAAAATATCAGCATTAATTGAATTATTAATCCTCGCTGTAAAATACATGCAAACTGTTTTACTTAAATTAAGGTCAAACATGAATGGAGGAGAAACATTTTGCGCTCCAAGAGATTCTATAATGATATAAAGTGAAAGACAGCAGTTTGTGATTTGATATGACTGTGGGGTTATGATGGGTAAACTGTATTGTGTGAAGCTTTAGTGATGTCACTGAACAATATTAGGTAGATATGAAAAAACCTGCTCCCTTTAATAACCTGATCTCTCAAACAACAGGTTTCACTCACAGAATGGAAGGTCTCTACATTAACAGCAGCTCACAGGACCAAAGCTACGATTACAGCGACACCACCTCCAACTACCAGGATCACATCACCATCAGCGACTGTGATTTCAGCTACTTTTATATCATCTTTACATTGGTGAATCCCATAGTCATTGTTGTCGGCCTTCCTCTGACCCTGGTGGCCGTCTATGCTCTTTGTTCTATGGTACGTACATTCTGACTGAGAGTTATTTATTTCAATTCAATTCAATTCAATTTTATTTATATAGCGCCAAATCACAACAACAGTTATCTCACAGCGCTTTTCATAACAGAGCAGGTCTAGACCGTACTCTATGATGCTATTTACAGAAACCCAACAGTTCCCCCCAAGAGCAGCACTAGGAGACAGAGGCAAGGAAAAACTTCAACCACAGATCCAGACTCCACAGCTCCAGAGCCAGAAAACCTGCAGGAAGTGATAGGAGGAGAGAGGAGAGGGACGAGAAAGCACAAGACTACCGGAAAGGGGAGAAGTTGTGTTAGTAACATGCAATAATGGGATGAGGTTGCATACAGAGGGAGAGAAAGTAGAGGAGAGAGGAGCTCAGTGCATCATGGGAAATCCCCCGACAGTCTAGGCCTATAGCAGCATAACTAAGGGATGGTTCAGGACTCACCTGAGCCAGCCCTAACTATAAGCTTTATCAAAGAGGAAAGTCTTAAGCCTACTCTTAAATGTGGAGATGGTGTCTGCCTCCTGAACCCAAACTGGAACCTGGTTCCACAGGAGAGGAGCTTGATAGCTGAACGCTCTGGCTCCTAGTCTACTTTTGGAGACTCTAGGAACCACAAGTAACCCTGCATTCTGGGAGCACAGTGCTCTGGTGGGGTAGTAAGGTACTATGAGCTCTTTAAGATAAGATGGTGCCTGACCATTAAGAGCTTTGTAGGTAAGAAGAATGATTTTAAATTCTATTCTGGATTTTACTGGAAGCCAATGCAGAGAAGCTAAGACAGGAGAAATGTGATCTCTTTTCCTGGTTCCTGTCAGAACACGTGCTGCAGCATTCTGGATCAGCTGAAGAGTCTTAATGGACTTTTTAGAGCAGCCTGATAAAAAGGAATTGCAGTAATCCAGCCTAGAAGTAACAAATGCATGGACTAGTTTTTCTGCATCATTTTTAAGAGTATGTTCCTGATTTTCGCAATATTACGTAGGTGAAAAAAGGCGGTCCTTGAAATTTGCTGTCTGTGTCCTGTGTCTGTCCTACAGTCTGTCTGTCTGTAAATGATCTGGATCTGGTTTGGGGGCTAGGTGTCAGGGGGCTGGGACAAAGGCTTGGAATGATCTATAACCTGACAGGAATAATTGACTCCAGAATTCAAATGTCCATGAAGCTGATTGGACCCTAAACACATGCAGTTTCCATGTGTGGCTCCATTCCAGCCTTCTCTTAAACTGTTGAGCTTAATGACTCTATCAAGTTCTTTGCCTCCAGTTCTTATTTGTGCGATCCTCCCTGAAATGCTGATTCAAGGAGGAGAGATTCTCACCTTGCAAACACAAACATGAGCCTCAAACTGCGACTCCGGTCTGGATAAATCCAGCTCATTTTTTTTTATTTATTTAAACCTTTATTTAACCAGGAAAATCCCATTGAGATTACTAATCTCTTTTTCAAGGGAGTCCTGGCCAAGACAGCGGCACAGATCACAACAATTCAGTACATTTCAGACAATTTCATAACAATTTCATAAGACTATTTAAAAACATTTACAACCATAGATTTCATTTCCAAACCTTTGAGCAAGAGTTTAAATTGGCCTATTGAAACCAGTTCCTTTAATTTCCAGAATTTTTACTCTTTGAGTAAACTGTGGTTTACAGAGTCAAAGGCTTTTGACAAATCAATGAAAAGCACTGCACAATGTTGCTTATTGTCAAGAGCTGTTGAGATATCGTTGATCACCTTCAATGTTGCTGTTATGGTACTATGACCTTTCCTAAAGCCTGACTGGAATTTGCATAAAATGTTGTTGGAATACAAAAATTATTTCAACTGTTCATTTATTAAAGATTCCAAAATTTTTGATAAGATACAAAGTTTTGAAATTGGCCTGTAGTTATTAACAATTTTTGGATCACCACCTTTGAATAATGGTGTGACAAAAGCTGATTTCCAGATTTTGGGTATTTGCATAGTGGTCAAACTTAAGTTAAAAATATCAGTCAAAGGTTTTGCTATTAAATCAGCTGCAATTTTTAGAAAATACGGATCAATTAAGTCAGGTCCTTGTGGTTTACGTGCATCCAATGATTGTAGTGCTTTGCGGACTTGACACAAAGTAAAAGGCTGGAAACTAAATGTTGATGCATCAGAGGGTTGTTCCGGAACAGTCCCAGTGTTGCTTGAATTTATGGAGGGTGTAGATGAAATAAAATGTTGGTTGAAACAATTTACCATTTCAACTTTATCATAAATATTGATGAGTTATGGACAATATATTTTGGCAAGACCTGTGAGTTATTTTCTGCAGAGAGAGATTTATTGTTTTCCAAAATCTTTTTGGGTCATTTAGACTATCAGTTGTAGTTGACAAGTAGAATTTAGACTTGGCATTTTTAATTTGGGAGGAACTTTTATTTCTTAATTTTCTGAAATTATCCCAATCGCATTTTAAACCAGTTATTCTTGCTTTCGTCCACGCTAAGTTCCTCTCATGTAAAGCATTCGCCAAATCTGGTGTAAACCAAGGATTATCTCTACCTTTAATTCTAAATTTCTTAAAAGGAGCGTGCTTATTAACAATAGCCATGAAACACTCATAGAAAAATGACCAGGCTGTTTCTACATCTGGAATAAGGTCAATTCTGTTCCATTGGCACTTAGAAAGGTCATGGTAAAATGCCTGTTCATTGGAAAGGTTTAAATCTCTTTTTATAATGACTCATGGTTTTCTTTTATCCATTTTGGTATTTCTAACAGTGGCCACGATACAGTGGTCACTGAGATCATTACAAAACACCAATACAGAACAGTATTTATGTGGGGCATTTGTTAAGATCAGATCAATCAATGTTGACTTTGAAAACACTTATTATATGGACGAGTAGGGATGCAATTAATTGTGTTAGATTTAATTGATCACATACAATTTTGAAATCATCAGAATTTGGGCTAAGCCAGTCCCAGTTTAAATCTCCAATTAGTATAGTTTCATCTGAATCGAGCATAAATAGAAAATCCTTTAGTAATTGGAGTGTGTTAGAGGTGGCTGAAGGAGGCCTATAACATCCCATAACATTTACATGTAAACCCTTGGCAATTTCAACCTTTAGCATTAAAAGTTCAAATTGTTTACAGAGAGATTCAGCTTGTAATAAATCTACATGGAGAGATGTGTTTACATAAATGGCAATTCCCCCACCTTTAGCTAGTCTATCAACACGATAGATTTGAAAGCCATCTATGCAAACATCATTGTCAGATATAGATTTGTTTAGCCATGTTTCAGAAATAACAACTATATCTGCTCCTGTTGACCTTACCCAGATTCGAACTTGGTCAATTTTAGGTAGAAGAATGCAAACATTAAGATGAATTATTTTAAGGCCAGGTAAGAACTTAAAGTCAGATGGGGTTTGAACCTCTGGGCCAGGGTTTGGTTGTATATTTCCAGATAGTAAGAGTAACAGAATAATTAGTCGTCTTTGGTATCCAGAACGTTTGGGAATTGTGTTTTTAGACACAATCTCAATTGAAAGTAACATAATAGAGGTTTCATTAAGTGAAAAATAATCATACAAAATTAGGAAACTAAGGAGTTGTTTTATGACCCAAGGTTGTAGGACACACGAAATTTTTTAGTTTTGATATTGGCATTTTATACGTAGAAGCAGTTGATTTGTTATGATCGTAGTTCACATTAACTCGGATATGTTCATAAGTATGGGCACCCAGAGTCTTTCCAAAATTACATGCAGACAATTTATCATGACTTTTGTAAGAATTGTGACAAATGAGCAGAAGGCACAGCAATACACTTGGATATTTAAATTGGATATGCATATTTAAATTGAAAGTCATAGCAGGTAGGATCAGCAATTTTGGTATTGGAATTGCAGTCAAGAGCCAGCAGCCAGGCAGTGCAGGCCCAAGGTGGAAAAACAGCTAAAGCCAGGCAGAGCAGGCCCAGGGTGGATAAACAGCTAGCAGCCAGGCAGTGCAGGCCCAGGGTGGAAAAACAGCTAAAAGCCAGGCAGAGCAGGCCCAGGGTGGATAAACAGCTAGCAGCCAGGCAGTGCAGGCCCAGGGTGGATAAACAGCTAGCAGCCAGGCAGTGCAGGCCCAGGGTGGATAAACAGCTAGCAGCCAGGGTAGAAAAGCAGCTGTGGTGCAGGCCCAGGGTGGATAAACAACTAGCAGCCCGGCAGTGCAGGCCCAGGGTGTGGAATCTGCTAGCAGCCAGGTGGTGCAGGCCCAAGGTGAGGAAACAGCCTGCAGGCAAGTCGCACATGTGCAGAGTCTAATTTAGAGTCCAAAATGTAATATAAACTGTAATATAAAAAGCTCAAGAAAGGCTTTGACTTTAAAGCTAAAAGTGACTTTATTTTCAGACTAAAATTTCACATTACAACACATTAAAAAGCAAGACATGCTTCTCAGAGCAACACAGCACTCTGTTGATCTGCCGCCATCTTGGATTGGGGTTTGAGCCAGAACGCTTCATATCTGTGGCTGAAAAACTGCTGCAGAAGCTGCAGGAAATCTGGCCCTTAGTCTTGTTCCTGCACTGATTGGCCAGTGGGTCATATCTGAGATTTCTGTTGGATGAAAAAGTCAGAAATGGCTCTGACAGCAGCTGCTGGGCAGAGCAAGATGACAGATTTGGGAGGAGGTGGACTTCACAACATGTTTCCAACTGCTTGTTGACTTTTACCAATGTTTTCCTGCAGGTGAGAAGTGATCATGTTGCTCCCATCTACCTCATCAACCTCCTCATTAGTGACCTGATTCAGTTCTGCAGCATGATTGTTGATGTGGCGCCAAATGTGGATGGGAGGATACGTTACATCTTCTTTTATATTTACCACTCTTCTCTGATTGCCAGTGTTTACTTCATGGTCTGCATCTCCCTGGAAAGGTATCTATCTGTCTATCCAGTATGTGTGGAGCTCCTTCTGTGTCTGAACATTATATTAGTTTATAACTCTGAAGCTCCTCAAAGACTTTGTGTCCATCTTGTATTACAGGTATTTGGTCATCGCCCACCCACTGTGGTACCGCTTCAGACGAACCATCAAGACCTCTGTGGTGCTCTGTGTCCTGGTCTGGGTCCTTACTGTTGTTTGTTCCATCCTTAACTATGTCTCTTATTATTATTTCCGGTCTCAGGAGACATTTCTAATCGTTGCCGCCCTCCTCCTCCTCCTTCCCTTCCCACTGTTAATATTCTTCCTGGTTGGGACCCTCAAAGCCCTGTCTGCTTCCATCTCGGTCCCCTCTGATGAAAAACGACGAATTGTGAGAATTGTAGTTCTGGTGCTGCTTATTTACACTCTGCTGTTCCTGCCCAGAATCATTTGGTTCCTGGAAGTAAACTATGACCTGACCCTCAACCTCCTGTCTACCATCTTCATTAGGTTGAGTCCTCTTGCAGACTTTTTCCTGTATGTCTTCATGAGGAAAGGGACCAAAGAGAAGCTTTTGGCCTCTGTGTGTTGCTGCAGAATGGACAGCAATGATATCAGCAGTCCATCAGTATGAATGATGACAACATTTCCACAGTCAGCTTCATGTAGGCAGAGAAAGAGGGAGAGAGAGAAAGGGGAGGAAACAGGAGGAGAAATGGAGGCCAATAGAAAGGATAGAGACGAGACAGATCCTGTTATCTACTGAGACCATTTCCAATAAGACACCTAACTGTAGAGAACAGGAAGCACTGTTTGGACTCTGCTGTGGGAGAAGTGGCTGCTGGGAAATGTTTTGGTCAACTTGCTCTGGTTCACTGTGATGGCTTCAACACATGGAAATAAAATGTGTTTTATTAGTTTGGAGCTGGAAGTTGATGTCTGTCATTATTCTCCTTTAATCCCAGAAGCAAAGCAGATATTATTTTAGATGAACTGAGCTCATTCTAGCCACCTCGCTGTCTTCTTCCTAAATCTTTATTTGGACTGTTGTTTGGATGTTTAACACAGGGAGAGCATCTCAACACGTCTTTAGCACTTTGTACTTTTTAAGTGT